CTGAGCAAATACAGCTGGATAAAACAAAAACTGTGTCCGTGAGACAATTTTTGCACATTTTGTTTCTGGGAATTTACAGTACTGAAACAATATCTTAATGGTAAGAATCAATATTTTTGTTGAATATTTTCCATTGATATTTTTATACAAATGAGTGCGAAAGTGAAGCAGAATCTAGCCCAGTTATTGTTCATGTCCAAGAATTGTGAACTCAGCCTAACTGCTAAATCTTGTCCAGTTAGATCAGGATTCGTAGTTTATTTCGTAGTGTCGTAGTGATCCCTTCAAGCGCTGACTATTAAACAGTTATCTCTCACCAAATAGACCCTTGGAGATCCGTATCCCGTCTGGACGGCCACATTAGGAAACACAGTCTAGTGTGATGAAAATGCGATGACATGGTTACAGGGAGAACAAAGCGTAGAAGACCAATTTTAGCTCAAAGCAGCTCGACTTCACTAAATCCGCTTTTATGGGTGTGAGATCTCTTCCCTTTCATGAGTTTAACCATCACCCCAGGGAGGGAAAAAAAGAGAAATAAATTGAAATGATCTGTGTGTATTTTTCATATGAATAACATAAAAGGAATGTTCTGGGCTGGATAGAAATAATTTGCACTCCTCCAAAAAAAATTTGCAGGTACAGTAAGGAAATACGGAAATTATCTAAACAACTTTACTGCTGAAATAATATACTCATATATATATATATATATATATATAATCTATTTATAATCTATCTCTGTATTTATATATATATATATACACACACACACACACACACACACACACACACACACACAACAAGTCTTACTGATCCCAAACTTTTGAGCGGTAATGTTTATTAAAGAAGTCCCTTATGCTCATCAAGGCTGCATATATTTGATAAAAAAAATACAGAAAAAAACAGTAATATTGCAAACTGTTATTACAATATAAAATATTGGTTTCTATATTAATATACTTTATAATTTATTCCTGTGATCAAAGCTACATTTTCAGCATCATTACTCCAGTGTAAAGTGTCACATGATCTTCAGAAATCATTCTAATATGCTGATTTATTATCAGTGCTGGAAACAGTTGTGCTGATATAACTGAATATAACAAAATATGAAGTGCTGCTTCATATTTTTTGGGAGCTGTGATACTTTTTTTCAGGATTCTTTGATAAATAAAAAGTTTAAAAGAACAGTGTTTATTCAAAAAAGACATTTTGTGTCAATATACACTACTATTCAAACGTTTGTTATATTTACCTGTTCCTTTCACAGGAAAGCGGTTTTTTTTTTTTTACTACGTCCTGAAATATCTTGATAACTTCATCTTTTAATGATTCACAATTTCATTTTTTTTTTTTAATTGCTGCACTAAAAAAGATACTTGAGGGACACTTTGTGGAACCATTCACTGATATACCTTATCTTTAGACCAAGTCTGCAAAACTATATGCACATCACATGCTTTAAACTCTTGGAGTTGGATATTGTAAAACAAACTTCTTGCAAAACTGTAAACACAGTTTTCTACATTGCACACATCATTTGAAAATAACAGCTCTTTTGTTTACTCTGGGAAACACTGCCATTTTAATGCCACACTCATTTACTGATGACCTACACACAGTGATCATGTGTGAAATCACTTATACATAAATTGTTCACTTAGTAATCAAAACTCGTTTTATGTAAAAAATAAATTATTTTTACCCCCTTGCATTTCTGTTTACATTGCATGTACAGGTATATTGTACAAAGGATGCATATGTGTGTGGTGTGTGTGTGACTATATATATATATATATATATATATATATATATATATATGTATATATATGTATGTGTGTGTGTTATTTTTTTCCTCATTTATTTATGGTGGAAAGTGGCTTCCATAATTTATTCATATTTTAAATTAACTTATTTTTTTATATTTTCGCTTTTCATTTTAATTTTAGTTTAGCAATCTTGTTACTATTTTTTCATTTGTCATTTTCATTAATATTTATATATAACAAAAATGTGATTTACTCCTTTAAACTCTGGAA